CCCCATCCCTGGCAGTGTTCAAGGCCAGGTTGGACACAGGGGCTTGGAGCAACCTGCTCTAGTGGAAGGTGTCCCTGCCTGGGGCAGCGGATTGGGACTGGAGGAGCTTTAAGGTCCCTTCAACCCAAAGCACCCTGTGATTCTGTGTCTCTAACCAGAGCCTGCTCTTTCCCCCATGACCCTACGTGATCTCCTCTTGTTCCATACACCGAAGTGTCCAGTGACCATTCTCAGAGGGCACCAGGAACAACTTGGAAGCCCCCAGTTTCCCATCAACACTCCATTCATCCTGCCAGCATGGCCAACAGCACCCATGAGGGGATCTACCTGCTCCTCAGAGAACAATGAAGCCCTGGAGATAGCAGGAGCCCAGAGGAACCCAGGGAAGGACAAACTCCTGCTCCTCTGTACTTCACATCCAACTGGCAATGCCCCTCTCGCTCCCGTGTCCACACTCAGCTTTAATGCAGGATGTGATAAGCTTCTTCCTTTGACACTCAAATTCCCAGTGGATGCCCTACAGTTCCACCACTGCCATAGCCTTTCACAGCAGGAGCTTTGGACTCTAATCTCCAAACCTGACTCATGGGTTCAGCACACGTCTTAAGCCTTTGTGTTATCAGTTAATACAAGCAAACAGGTCATGCAGCTGGTACTTCCAAATTGTGTCTTTAGGGGGTTGGAGGTGCTTCTTCTGGAGGTCAGGAGGGAATAAACACAAAAAGGGAAACATAAGACCAATAATTCATCCTGAATATTTGGTCCTTTTGGCTGATCTAAACCTCAACCTATTATTTAAGTCAAGAGATGCTCAAAATGAGCCTCCCAGCTTCATACCATGCACGAGCGGTCCAGTGTTGTGTCAAGAAGCCCATGGAAAATCCCCCCCATTAATCCTGCACAGCTGCCTGGGAGACAATCCTATTGAATTCCTGCTATCTGCAGCCTGCAGGGAGTCAAACACAAAGTGCCCTTGTTGCAGTCCCATTTAGAGACTGGTGATCAAACACCCTGATATGGAAACTGCATCGCCCAGTGCTGGTGCATTCTGCCACCATCCTCATTAATAAAGATTGTTGTTCATTAACCTTTTGGTGACCTGCATAAGCAAACATTTTGGATCAATCAAGTCCATATCCCACAAAGCTTGTGCTTTAATTGCAATCCACAGCCTCCCAAATCCTCCTTTCCTCTGTGTGGTCGGATGCTCTACAGGAGATGTAGTTTTAGCACCAAGCTTGTCCTCCTCCTCCAGTTCCTGCTGCAGACTTCCTCCAAAGCACCCTTTCTCCTCCGTTTCTTTCCCAGCTGCCAGCTACGTGATCCCTGCTGCAGAGAAACTGACAACCCTGAAGAAGTTCCTCATCTCAAAAAAGCTCACCCAGTTCTAGCACAGAATCCCAGCATCCCAGACTGCTTTGGGCTGAAGGGACCTTAAAGCTCATCCAGTTCCAAGCCCCTGCCACAGGGAGGGACACCTTCCACTAGAGCAGGTCTAGGAGGGTTGGAGAAGGCACCTTCAGAGGACACTTCCAACCTGGCTTACTGCAGGATTCTGCAAGTCAGATCTGCAAGAGCCACAGAGGGGTTTTTCCAGGCCTCTTTGCCACTCTTTTCTCCCACTCCATAGTCTCCTCCTCCCTCCACGCATCCAACCTACCCTAACACCACACAAAGAATCCTGGATGTGTTTGTCTGCACCCTTCTGCACTTTCCTGATGGCCTCCTTCAGCTTGCATTCAGTTGTCCTCATGTTCATGGCCCCACTTCACAGCCCTGAGCATCCCTACTTCACAGTAGAGGCCTCCATCCTTACACTCCTTCTAACCCACCAAGCTTTCCTCCTCAGTACTTCAAGTTTGAAGGTTACTTGCCCCTATTCCCTCTCAGGCCTCACTTTGGGATGTTCATAAGCTGACCAAGAGCTGCAGGAGAGATATTACTCCCTCTTTCTTCATCCTTGTTACTTAACTCATCCAGGGTAATGCCTGGCAGCACTTTGCCACATAAAGGATACTGTCTTCTCTACTTTTGTCTTGTGTGCTTTCCATTCCAGGCAAGGCAGCTGCCACACGCCGGAAAAGCTGCAAGGAAACAGGGAACAGATCAAAACAATCACACTTGAAAGAGTGCACCATGGTTGATACAGTTCAAACAATGATTCAATACATCCTCCAGGACTATTGACACCAAAAGCCTGACACCAAATATAACCTTTATTGTCAGGAAATGGCAACCCATGGTTTTGTTGTGAGTGAAATCAAATGTGACTGGCTACAAGAGCAAACCTTCCATCACCCTCTCTGCTAACATTCTCTGTTTGGAAGGCAGCATTTCCACCTCACAGACGTGCACAGACCCCAAAACCTCCCCAGTATCAGGTGGGAACTCAACCTTCACAGCTCCACAGTTGGTTACACAGGAGCATGGACACACCAAGTCAAACACAACATCCACTGTTGACCCAGGTGGCACACACAGAAGGGCATCATAAAAGGGGGTGTGTGTCATGACATCCCCCAAGCACCTTCTACCAGACTCCACATATCCGTGGCTCAGGCTCCCTGTGAACCACAGGAAGGATTTTCCTTTCAGGAATTTCCCAATCCTTTTCTGAGTGCCCCCCCTTTTAGTACCTGCTCCATCACCATGACCCTGCTCACAACAGGAACCTGCAATCCCAAAGCAGTTCTTCCACCTCTCACTTGAACACTCTCCAGTTTCCCAGCAAGGCTCCAACATCTCTTCACAGTTTTATTGCACTGAGAGGGGAGAGTGAACAGGACCAGTTCCCTCTCCTGCACTTCCTACCTCTGCCCCTGAGGCTCAGATGTGTGGTTCCCACAACGTACCTTTTCCCCTGCCCCCTGGGTGAGGAGCCTTCAGATATGTCCACTGTTAATGTGTGAGAATTCACTTGGGTTCCTGGGCCCATAAGGGTCTGCCTTCTCCTGCACAGGAACAGCCCAGTTAAGGACTGTCCTTCAGCTGAGTGACTTCTCTGACACCCTCCTATGTCCTCTTGGTAGGAACCATGCAAGTTTCAACAGCAACAGTCTCTTTTTCATGTGTGTCATCAAAGATGGAAGGAGAGAATGTATCAGATGGATGGAAGGATAGATTGTGCCTTTACTATTCATCAGGGTTAATAAATGACCACCTCAGTGTTTCTTACCTTTGAAGAACAACCCTAGTAGAGATCAGGTCCATTGCTCAGCACACACCCAGATGTGAACATCTGACACACACTGCACTTGTATTTTTACACCATTTCAGACATTGTCACCACCAAACACTGCCTGCCTGTTACCCACAGCACTGGGTGTTTCCTTGCATTCAACATCTCCATCCAGTCTTTCAGTGCCTGAAGGGGGCCTACAAGAAATCTGGAAAGGAACTTTTCACAAGGACATGTCTCCTCTGGAGCCAGGCTGAGAGAGCTGGGCTGGGGCAGCTGGAGAAGAGAAGGCTCCTCAAGGGGACACCTTAGAGCAGCTCCAGGGCCTAAAGGGGCTCCAGGAGACCTGGAGAGGGGCTTGGGACAAGGGATGGAGGGACAGGACAAGGGGAATGGCTTGAACCTGCCAGAGGGGAGACTGAGATGAGCTCTGAGGCAGAAGCTCTTCCCTGGGAGGGTGCTGAGGCGCTGGCACGGGGTGCCCAGAGAAGCTGTGGCTGCCCCATCCCTGGCAGTGTTCAAGGCCAGGTTGGACACAGGGGCTTGGAGCAACCTGCTCTAGTGAAAGGTGTCCCTGCCCGGGGCAGGGGTTGGAGCTGGAGGAGCTTTAAGGTCCCTCCAACCCAACCCAGGCTGGGATTCTGTGGTGTGAACCCACAAGCTCGTTGCAGTCTCGATGCTTTCTTTGCCTTTAACAGTCTTCACTAAACTTCCTGACTCAATCACATCTGGGAACAGAAGGTTCTGACTCTCCTTCTTTCCTGAGCTTTGCCCCTAGAACTACTTCTGCTCTCCCAGTGTTCAGTATTCAGTGAGCTCTCAGGTTGATTTAAGGATCTCAATTTCAATTTTATGAAAGAAAAACAGCTTTGTGACTTCTGGGAGGCAAAAAACCACTTGAAAAAGGGATCACAGGATGAGGCTGCACTGGAGAATATCCAAATCCACCTACAGCAACACTTTCAGAAGGGTCCTGGTACGTTGTCAGTGCATACACAGGTGCTATGGTAAACTCTGCTCCTCTCTGGTGCATCACTTCATCATTCCATCAATCCCTATTAGCTCTGGAGGGGAAGATCTGTTCAACCTCTCACTCCTCCAGCACATTTTCCTGCT